AAAAAATTGAATTAAAAAATTACACAAAAAATGAGGAATTTTAAATAGTTAATTTGATACGAATATCGATATATTTTTGTTATACATAAAATACTGTATATTGATGCATATTACTTAAAATTCAAGATTTGTAATTATATATAAGTACAACTTATTAAAGCTCGATGTTTGAATTCGTATAAATAACTGCGGATAAACTTAATCAAATAGAGGATGAACATCTCATTTTAAAATATAAAAAATCTAAAATATAATTAGAATAGTTATCGAGTTCCAACAAAATAAATAATTATTATCTTTATAAAAAATTGAATTAAAAAATTACACAAAAAAATGAGGAATTTCAAATAGTTAATTTAATACTAATATCGATATATTTTTGTCAAATTTTTATCATATTTTCAAACATATATTTTATTCAAAAATAAAAACATCATCGCTTTCTCAAAATCACATAAAGCCATATTATAATATCGACTGAGATAAAGAATAAAATGAAATATTTAAATCACGATTTATCTCGCTGCATTGCGCGAGTATGCTTCTAGTATTGTTCAAACTTAATAGAATTAAAAATATATTATTTTGGGAAAAGTCTATAAAAACCCACCGGACCTTAGTGTTTGGAATAATTAAGTTCTTGGACACTTTTTTGTAACAAATAAGTCTTTGTACATTCTAAAACCTGTTAAACAACTCCTTGGACTTTCTAAAACCTGTTATATACATTCTTATGACCTATAAAACTAATTAACGTAGTAAAATAATAGAAAAAACATGAAAAAAAGTCAGTGAACATTCATATTTTGAGCGATAAAGTCTCTAAACATTTTTTTAAACAAAAAAGTATTTACATTATATAAGATAAAACAAATATACAAAAAAAAAATACTTACTTTCAAAAAAGATCATTGATGAAATTTATTTTAATTAAAAATAAAAGATATTATGTCGGTGATTTTTCAAATTAAAAAAAAATAAAAAAGGATTTAAAAGGGATTA